ATGCAATTGTTTTGTGAGCTATTTTGTTTTCTGGCTGGACATGATGGATGGCTGCAATTGGTCGGCGCTCTGTGAGTCTTTCCATGTGCTTCCTTTAGTAGTACTCATGACTCAAAAATCTTACGTGGCAGCAACGGCATTGTCGGCGCTACACAACCTGGCGTCCTCGGCAGATCCCAAACCATGCCGCCTCGCCGCCACTGCACGGTTCTCCATCCGCCAAAATATAGATCATGCAGCGTCACGTTGCCTTGCAAGCGATCCGCGTAATTGGGTGGTACCCAACGTTGTACACCATGTTTCCCCCAGCCCATGGACTGTTTATCCTCGGACAAGAAACTAATAAACAGGATCAAGGGACCATCACAACATTACTGTACACCTAAAACACCAACAGACTCCTTGAGGCCGGATTGAAAGAGAACACTCGAGGCACATGTCGATAACCCTATCCAGACAAGAGTGCAACATGGAAGACAGCTATCAAACCTAACAGTTCCAGGTTTACAATAACCAAATGAGTGAAACTACATGGTCTGTTGTTTAGTTGAGCCACGTTCGAACGGTTTCGTCCATTCCCCACGAGATGGCGTCATCGATAGGAGTAACAATGAAGGGGACAATTCCCAACCCTACAGCGGTGGGCACCCACTTTCTCGCCAGCTTTGGCAAGAGGCTCTTCGCGTGATCGCTGGCCATCGCAGCACTCACGGCCTTTACCTGCAAAGGAGAGCGGTTCGGCGGAAAGATGCATGCAAACATGGCGGCATAAGACTGGCGTCTTGTGGTTGGTCAGGCAGTCAGCCAGGTGGTGCGCTGAGACTGACTTTTTCTCATTGGCCAGCCGCGGTTTGCGCGGTCCATGCCAACTAAGAAAAAACGCACAAACAGAAGGATTCAAAAACAAGAGGGCAGGGAAGCCACAAACCCTACACCCTTGAGGTAGGACTCATCCACGAAGCCGCAACGAGTGATTGTTGAGAAACAAACTAAAAAAATGTTTTCTTCTCAATCCGTGGTCAAATAACATGAGGAGATCATGCGTTTGTTTAATAAAAGAGGCCGCTAGATTCAAGACTTTTTGGGGGGGGCTTTCAAGATTGCCACCCCCACGAGGATTGCAAAAGTGCATTCCTACTTTTGTTTTCCACCCCACAGGTTTGTTGCTACCCTGATCGACCGATGCGAAAGGGCGCAAAACGCAACACAGGAAGGAGGGAACGGAAAAAAACTTCCTTCGACATGACTGTACGAAATGATCGGAGGAACACGAGTGTAGCAAACAAGCCGATCGCGCCGGGTTCGTCGAATTAATTGTCGCTGGCTTCGTTGCGATGATGAACACGTTTGTTTCCATCGGGCACGCATTGAAGTGGCGGAGGAACAGAGGGCGCCCGAATGCTAAATAGTTAAGAACGCGGTGACGACCATCATTGTGCCTATCGGTCTGAGTTGACTTGTACGGGCGCACGAACCAATCAAGAACGACCAGCTAGAAACACTCATGACGTGTTCAGCGGCTATCAGTTTACGCTACGGCTATCGGAATGACCCGAGACGAAGCAAGAGACAGGGGACGAACAAGTGTCGTCCATGAGCCCTCGCAACCAACCGCAAACGAACACTGTAGAGTCAGCAGCAACGACAACAAAAGAAACAATAACAACAACAACAGCCTCATGGACAAAGCCCCAACAATAACCAAAACACACTCAGGGTGCTACGCCGCAGCAGCTACCGGGGGGGGGCGCGTTGGCGAGGAAACAGAACAGGAAGGTGATACGCAGACCCTATCCCTTACCCAACTTCCCCGATTGCATGCTTTATCCAACATGTTTACTTAATAGAAAAACCCTGCCAAGGCTGCTGACGGGGGTGTGAGGGCATCAAAGCAATGGTGTCGGGGATTTGCACACGCTGTAACTCTCATCGATCAAGGTGTTGACTGCCGTCAGGACTGTTGCACTTCTCCCTCGGCGAGTCGACCACAAAGCAAGCCGGTGCTACGCAGAACATACAGCTGTAACTGACCGCAATGTTGATGGTCAAGCCCGGCACAGCAACACTCGCGAGCGACTGCCACAGCAGAACGTCGAGGCCTGTCTTTCCCACGGCCACCATGCCTTTCCCCTTGGTGTAGTCCTTGTAGGCCTTGTCCACTGTGTCTCCGCAGACGTAGGCAATGCTGACAGCGTCTGAGAGGCAAGCGGACAGAGGAGGAATGTCGGGAGAACGACGACTTCGGTTTGGTGCGCTGTGGTTTTTCTTTGTTTCCTTCGCCCTGATGCCTGCAATAGCACGTCATGCTGCTGCTGCTGTGCAAATATCCTGCCAACCCTACTTCAAACGGACAGCCGTTTGACAGCATCGCTCAAGTCCTCTGCTGCAGTTCCACCGTCAGCGCTCAAGGAAACTGGGGCACCCGAATCCTAGATATGGCCACCACGGATGCATCTGAATGATGAAATCTGGCAGACAGCTTACTTCACGCCTTGAAATGGCAACATGGGCATCGAACATGCTGTCGGTTCAGGCTACCTTATGCGCTTCTATGCATAGCACTAGCATCAGCGGGGGCGAAAGAAGACGCCAGGGATCGAAGGACAAACGTCCAGGGTGGAGGTTCCCGAAAAAGCGGTCTGAACAAGGCGGTCGCCCTACATTCCGCGGGTGAATTTGACTGGCAAAGACGGAATAATCAAGTTATTCTATGTACAAACGGAGTAAGGCGGCTGACAATAGGAAGGCGGTCATCATCAGCTGCCCCACCACCACCGCCTTACATGGGGACCCCCACGTCACGAGAGCGTTGGGAACGAAACGACTAACAGAAGTCAACCAAGTGAATCTGCGGCCTAGAGTCTCGGGCGGACGTATGGACGGTGGACTTACACGAAGGTACGACCAGCCTGGGTGCGATATTGCGGAACGACTCCCCGACCTCGTTGGCGTACCCCGCATATCTGAGTGCCGAATCTCTCCACACGTCGCCGTCGCCCTGTCGTCGTTGTTTTTTTCGGTGGGAAAAAGGCCGGCGAAAAATCGTTCTTGAAAATACAGCGTCATGGCATGGCGCGTCTTGCACAATAACCGTGGATGGCAAGAACGTAGCTGTGACGGCCGCCATTGTGACAAGTTGTTGCATCTCTGCTCTATTTCGCGCGGTGTTTCAAATCTAGTGCTTCAAACAATTTTTGTGGCGCATTTCTCACGTGTCTCAACACAAGTACTACATGACCAGCGTTTGCCATGTTGGCGAGAAGCTAGTCTTAAGAGTAGTAAGGCGACATTGACCCCCCCCAAAAATTGCTGATTGAAAGGAACTTGCATGGAATTGTTGAACGAGTGAATTGCTCTCGTGCCCTATTGTTGCCAAGACATGTTCATACAGCTAAACAAGTAGTGGCGATTGTGCCTCACACTACATCCAGCAACGCGAACGAGCGCGACCTGTATGTATCTTGGGATGCTTTCCACCTGTGTCTGGTCTCTACAATTGTACTTGTTCCATTCTCTAATCCGAATGTACACGGCTTCAGCGGGGTGGCAGCCAGACTGACCTCGTCGCCCTCGCTCGCAGCGGCAGTGGACGTCGCCAGCACCATGGGCCCGCTGCCGCCCCATCCCACTCGGCCTGTCGTCTCTCCTGTTGAAGCGGACGCTGCTGCTTCGTTCCGATGTAGAGGCAAACAAGTCCCCGCCCCAGCGGCACTAACCCTTCTGCCACTGCCACTACTGTTCCGGCGGTTACAGCAGTGGCAGATAGGAACCCTGGCTATCGATCTATCGCGGACCCTATGCTGCTCCTGCAAGGCTAGCGCGGCTAGCGGTGTAGCCCACGTACCCCAGCACCTTATCGGGGGCGAGCCACGCCTGTTCGGCACCGACGGGAGCAAGGGTACGTACCGCAGCAGATGAGATTCACGGACGGCAGCAAAAATGTTCACAACTGACGTGTTCGGGCGATAGGGTGACACAAAACTGCTGCTGCCTGCTGTGGCAGAAGGCCTAGTCTAACGTTTCGGCAATAGAGGTGCCTCAAGCTCGCTCAAGCGCATAACAGCTGCACAGGGATGGGTTGCGTCGTCTGGTCTCAGGTGCTTGCAGGTCTGGCTGGCAGCAAGCAGACGCTGATGAGAGACTATTCGGCGTACGAGGTGTTTCGCCTTGTGGGGCAAACGACAAAATAAGACCCAACAAGCTCATGCATCAGGACCTGGTGGGAAACACGAGAATAACCGCCAATCAAATGAAGCTTCGCTCTTGTTCTGTTGACAGCAGCGGTGTTTCAGCAGTTCGTCTGCATACCTTAAAGAGAGGGGGAGGGCTGACGAGGTGAGGGAGAGGAAAAGGAGTAAAAGGAGAAAGCTGCTGCTGTGCCACGCCAGTGCAACAACAAGCGGTTTGCTCGGGGATAATGGGTTGACGGCTTCGATATTGCCCAAAAAAAGATCGCCGACGGATCATTCTCAAAGCTTTCCAGAAGCCCGAAGGGCAAGCTGTGTCCAGCAAACCACTTCGGAAGTCGTATCTTATATGCAGCTGCAGTGTTGACGTGGTTTATGAAGGTGTCGCCCAACGACGGGATCCGAGGACACAAACCTTCCGATTACATCGCACTAAATACACGCAGGTCAGGCAATAACCGAGGCTCGAAAACACGCAACGATTCCAGTCCCCCCTGTACCCTCTCGCTCGCACTCACGTTTTGGGGACCATGCTGCGAATTAGACGTCAACGGCCACGCAATGCCGATGGTGCACAGGCCGGCCTAGGCCCCATTAGCTTCACATACCCCGGGTGCTTCACGGAGCCCCCTTGCGTGCCTACTATTTGTCGTACAAGCGTGTGCTGTTCACTTCCTTGGCGGTCTAACAACTTACCGGAGAAGACGGAGGACATCGCAAGCCAGACAGATTAGCTTTTGTTCCTGATTTTCTCGTCCCAAGTGCTATTGTGCGGTGTATCTGCTGGAGGTCTATACACCACCAGCCGAGGAGTGCGGGGGATCATATCATCATATTGTATCCAGCCCAGATCTCCACTTGTGCCATTGTGGACGGCGGACAGCAGTAGTCGAGGCGTTTTAGGGCGAGCGCGTTGGAGCTTCATATCCCCCTGAGAGTTGGATCAACTACGAGGGTCGTGTGCTGCGAAGGGGCAGCGCAAAGGAGAGCAAGAGTTGTTTCTGTCGCTCCCCTGCTGTCTAATTCGAAGTAAAAAATAAACGCCAACGAAACGCGGCGGGTTAAGACACACACATCATTATGTCATGTGCAACTAACGGCCCAAGCGGAGATGATGATATCGACCCGCTTGACGCCTACATGGACTCCCTCGCCGACGAGGTCACCCAGCAAGCCGAAGATGACACCGTCCAGTCCCCACCACCGTCACCGTCAAGTCAGCAGCCATCCCCTGCACAGCTTGCGGTTGCCGACAAGGTGGCTGCTAGTCCATTCTGCAACTTAATCCCTCCTGCGACCACTTCGTCTGCCGAGGCTGCGGAGGCGTGCTTGAAGGTGCTGCTGCATCAACCCGGAGAATTTTTAAGGTGCGTCTACCTCGTGCTATCCCCTCCGAAGCGAGCATATAAATGTAGGTGACACAAGACCCCACACCCCCTGGCCCTGGACCGATCTTCAAAGCTTGATTCCTCAATGGAGAAGAGGATGCATGATGAAACGAACAACGTACAGTCGAGGGACCCTTTTAGTGCCGGTACGTGCACAGAGCGTTCACCGGCACTAAATCGGGCACCCGGCACTATTGCGAATAGTGCCAAAACGGCACTATTGAGGGCTGGCCAATCCCTCATTAGTGCCGGTACCGGCACTAATGAGGTTGTGTTCGATTTATGGTGTAGCGCCCACGCTTACGGGGCCAACAAAGAACGAAATGGATCGACACTATTACTGTACTGTTGAGTGAAGTTCCAGCATGGGCGTGGGCAGAGTTGAGTTTTCTTTTTGTTGTCTTGGGGCGCTCTTTGGTTCTTCATTTTCTTCTGCACCTCACTTATTTGCTTATTTGTGTACTGTCGTCGGGACAAATTCTCTCCTGTTTGCCTGGCGCACCCGCTTCGATGTTGCAAGAAAAAAAAAACAAGCACGACAGGCAGCGCACCGCAAAAAATCAAACAACCGTTACCACAGCTGTAACCCCTG